GTATCGTTGCGAGTTGCATGAATATCATTGCAGCGTGTAACACCTCTTGCAATGCATTATCAAAATCTTTTTTTAACCATTGCGAGACAAGTTGCATGAACGAAGGCAGCAAACGCATAGTTATGAACAGAAAAAAAACAATTAAATATTTATTACCTGCGTTATATCTTAGGGAAAATCCCTCTGTTTCATTCGATTATATTGGCCATATGTGAATACAATTAATTAGTGTGTCTGGTCTCAGTGTTAGCAAGTTTGATCTTTTGACTTCGATTGACGAAATGTCCCAGGAATGACAATAAATATATAATTCTAGGCTCTAGCCTCTAGCTGCTCCTACAACGGACAGTAAGCTCAATTAATGAGAAATCCTTATTTGTCAGTTGACTTACGAATTTAAACAAGAATTACCGTTCTGATGCACAATTTCTGTAAATAGAATTCGGAATTTCATTTTTATGCGAATGTGTGAAAATGAAATGACGACAAACTTACTGCACTATGTTCGTTTCATTGCAAATAGCTTTTTTTGGACCGTTTTTTGACCGCTTTTTCCGAGGCGGTGGATGCAAATCTATGACTTTCTTCCCGGCATGTAGCCATGACCTAATCAGAAATGCAGAGTGACAGATGAGTGTTCGTATGTGTCCGATCCTACGATATAGCGGCAGACTGTTCGACAGTCTTTGAAAGGAAAAATGAAAGAAATGGAATGAAAATATCGGTAGAGTAGAGTAAACCGTGGACCACGCTCACAAGTCACAATTTCCCTATGACCAATTTTGAGATATCACAACTTAGTTGTCAGAAACTGCGTACTAAGTTGCATTTCAGCAAAAATTACCTCGTGTATTGTATATACGAACACAAAAGGCAATTAAATATTTATATATTGCCTGCGGAAAATCCCTCTGTTTCATACTTTCATTCGAAATGCGGTGAAACTAAAACTGATTAACTATTTAACTTTGGTCATAATCAATAGGCTATCCGCTATCGCATGCATATACAGTATATAATATAGTGATAGATGAGTGGTTCGTATACACTCTTAAAAATAAGCGTGTTATATAACATACTTATTTTGTCCAGAAATTAACACGGGTTATTTAACACACTAGTGTGTTATATAACACACCCTAGGGTGTGTTTTTGGCTTGTCCAAAAATCAACACGCTTTACGTGTGTTATTGAAAAATGTGTGTTATTTAGCACACAACAGTGGGTTTAAAAACACACAACAGTGTGTTATTGTTAAGTGTGTTATCTAAAAAAGTGTGTTATTTAGCACATATAATATTGGATTGCTAAAACACACTTTTATGTGTGCTAAACAACACACACACAGTACCAGTGTTTCTAAACAGTAATGTGTTACTGAATTTCAGACAAAAGAAATGAATATTTTAATACTGGAATCGTGCATACACTTTATTACATGTACTGTACTTTAAAATATTTACAAATATGAATGGAAAATCTGGGATCTTTAATCAAAATGCGGCCTATAGGCTATAATCTATACAGCTATTTCAATTAAGGTTGTCCCCGAGCAAAGCGGAAAAGTCGAATACAAGCGCGAAAGGCTGGTGGGAATCGCTAACAAATTCATTAATTTGTTAGCGATTCCCAGCAGCCTTTCGCGCTCGTATTTGACTTTTCCAATTTCCGCTTTGCTCGGGGACAACCTTAATCAGCGGTGTAGCCCTGGAATGTTAACAAGGGGGGCTCTCCAACAGAGGGCGAAACTTCAGTATTACGGCTTGGGGGGGGGGGCTTGTTTTGCCCAACCAAAAGGGCGTTTCTGAAGTCGTTCCTGAGGGACGAACAATTGATCAGTCGATCACTATCATAGATATCTTATATACACTAGATAGTGCATCTAATTATTCTGAAATTCAAAAATTGAAGCCGTGATTGCAGTCTCAGGTCGTTCCCATAAAATTAGAAGATTCGTATGTTTTCTATTTCTTAAACAGGGAACTTAAACATTAAGTTAACCCTATTCCAAATTCGTTTTTAAAATATTCAAATGAAAAAAAAATATTGTTGTTTTTAAGCGTTTATTAGCAAGTGGGAACGACCAACATGGCCGCCATCAATTCAAATGGGGGTAACCGCTGGAATATTGTCGGCTTCAATTTTACTAAAAGAGATGCGCTATCTAGTGTATATAAGATATCTATGATCACTATTACTTTTAAATCTGTGACACTCGAATATTTTCAAAATTTGCCCGACTAAATTGTATGGGTATACCTGATGGGATAGAGACAGGGGTGTCACCACCCCCCCCCTCCCACACACACACACACACGGTTAGTTTCGTCCCTGTTCTCCAAAAGGGGGGCTCAGCTCCACTACAACACTGAAATTAATTGAAATAGCTGTGTATACTATGGTACGCAAAGTTTGCCAAAAGTTTGGCCCTATCAAAATGTAGAATATTCACAATATTGGTTGAATGATAAAACAGGTCAAGCAGTAAAGTTTCTTTGGGTTTTTCGCTACTTATAAGTACAAAGCGAAAGTGACTCTATGCAACTACATATATCGTTAATCACTGACAATGCTTACACAATTCCACACTGTCCAAAAATGTGAATATACAGTATTATTTGTTCATTTAACCTTCAATCACAGTCTGTTCCTCCTTCGGAAAATCTTTCCTCCGTAAATGTCAATTATAAAGGCATTCAGGGTCATCCACTAATTTTCTTGCATTACAAGGTTTGTGTCTACTGGAGACATTTGATGTAAGATTGAAGAAAATTCCATGAGTACCAGGATAGGATTGTAAGGATCTGTACACATCTATCTAGCAAAGAATACAAAACAGCAAATGTATTAAATTAATGTATTACAGTAAGAAACAAAACAAGGCTTAAGTACATCCTATGTGATTCACATGGGAAATGTATGGAAAAGCAGAATATATTGACATAAATCTTGGGTGGATGCATTATTATGGGGGGGGATGCATTATTATAGGGCATTCACCTCCAGAAAATGTTTGGAATTTGAAGTCATGAATGCCATTTCCTGCATTTTGAGAAATACATCAATCTATATTTATTAAATTTGTCCTCAACGATTAAGAAAGTAAACCTTACACTCTCTCCCTCAAAATAAAATTGTAAGACAGAGTAAAGTAATAAAGAAGGGTGCATCAGGGAGCATTGCCAAGGATGTGCAAAGCAACGCTACCTGCATGTATAGTCAAAACAGTGTGACAATTTCATATGGTTTATAAATACTGCCTACTGCAAGATGATTTTACAGGTACTTGTCAAGGGAAGATTTTTGTCCATTAATGGGTTAACTGGAGCACCTGTCAGTATGTTCTGTTACTGTAGTCCTTTAACTTGTTAAGTAGCATTGTACCCTTTCAGTGTTATTTTATTCCACAAGAAAAGACTGCTGAAACTTGATAGGGGGAACAGGCATTGTGCTAAATGTTCCCTACTTGTTTTTTTTACATGTACCCTGTCTCAAAGCAAATCATCTCAAACCAAATCAAGGGTGAGTGTTGACAATTAATGGGTTGATGTGTCAAATCAGCCATCCATCTAGAGAGAAGTGTCATGAATTTGGTTCAACAGTAAATTCAACAAATAAACAACTCCCCCAAAAATTAAATTAGTGGAGAAAATTTCAGCTTGTAAGGGGAAGCATATATCGACAACAGTTAGCGAGTGACACATTAACCCTTCAATTGGCATTGAGCGAGTGTCCTTTAACTATAAAATTAATCACTGGTGAAGTCCAATTGTATTTTGCCATTGAAAATTCATATTGATGCATCGCCATTTCAAGAAAGAAAAATTACTTCATTATATTGTTACCTGTGTCAAATGTGCCATTTGTCCAGGACGGATAAGAGATGTGCCATCTCACCTTAACACTACATGTAGCAATTAATCTACTTTGAAAGGAATATACTGTAGTATCTAACAGGGAAGCGATTGAGCGAGTGTCCTTTAACTATAAAATTAATCACTGGTGAAGTCCAATTGTATTTTGCCATTGAAAATTCATATTGATGCATCGCCATTTCAAGAAAGAAAATTACTTCATTATATTGTTACCTGTGTCAAATGTGCCATTTGTCTAGGACGGTTAAGAGATGTGCCATCTCACCTTAACACTACATGTAGCAATTAATCTACTTTGAAATGAGATTCTATCAGGTGTGGCAATAAGCACTTTATTAAGTTTACTTTATCTTTTGACATGGTTGAGAAATGGTGCTTTATGAATATTTTTTGCCTACTCTAATTTTATATTTGATTTTTAACCATTAACCTGCAATGTTTCCAAATATACAGTACCTTATTTTATTGTTTTATTCTGTCTAATGCCAGACAATTTTGATTTTATTTGCCAAGGGGATCTTATGCTAGGTAATTTTACCGATCAATGGCCAATGGGAGCCATGTCCAGCTGTGTAGCGTATACTGTACCGTATATTATCATCTTACACAGAGTATTAATAAAAGAAATTCCACCGTTCAGTAATCAATGTAAAAACATTACCGTTTCCCATTGAAATTTCATGAATAAAATATTATTGTCTGTGTTTTTGTGCGTAATTTGAATAGAATGCACAAAATCCTAATTATTCCTATATGTATATGATATTGATATAGTCGAGGTTGGGCTTTGAACAGCCATTTCCGATTTTCAAACTCAGGTTCTAAAATACTTGTCCTTATAATTGAAATGAAAACAGTAAACGCAAGATAAAATAATCAGACAAAGCTGCTTGTATATCAAAACGCGCGCAAGTTTTCTTTATAACTGAGACTGCAAAGTGACAATGTAGAGTATAGCCTCAGCGTCAATGTTAAAGCGGTCGTATTATATGACAATCGCAGACAACAATCATTACATTATAATCCTCGCATTATTATAATAACTCACCTTATTCCTTTCGACGTACGTTTATCACATATTTGAAGTTACAGGCGAACTAGTATAAACCACTTCGTCTACTTCTCTAACAAAGCGGAATTCTTAGTATTGAAGCTGTGAACCACACGTTTTGAATTGGATAATTTGGCGGCCAGACCGTTGGCGTTGTCATTCAAATACAAACTGCAACCATGCTCGCTTCTTTTTAAAGCCATTTTAATCTAAAGCCATTTTAATCAGTTTGTATCGCTTCCATCGCACTGACACTTGAAAGGAATCCCTCGCACCACAATTGCACATATATTATTCCCATACAAACGACTAATGCCACTATCGATTGCAAGAAGAAGGTATTAGATTTCACGGCGGCACTCTCCTCATTGGTTGAAAACTCGAAAGCTCGATCATGCGGCGTGCGAATATTCAAATATTTCGGCTTCATGGTGTGTTACTCTGTTATGTTATAACATTTGAAATGCAATATTTTGAGGTCCAATTTTGATTGCTAATGCTGCTTGTATACTTTTAACTTTCCAGTTTCCAATCTGTATGAAATGCATTATGGCAATTGATAAAACTAGAATAGTGAAGCGAACAGTACGAATAGTGCGAATAGTCAACGAATAGTACGAATAGTCCTCTAATAGTTAACGAATAGTACGAATAGTCCGCGAATAGTCGACGAATAGTACGAATAGTCCGCGAATAAGCGACGAATAGTACGAATAGTCGACGAATAGTGCAATGGAGACTTTGCAAGGTTTTGCAGCAGTGCCGTAGAACTAAATTTACCGGGGTGGGGGGGCTCTATTGACAAACATGAAATCGTGAAACATTCGTTGACGTACGTCAATGACGTCATACGTAACCGGTAAAAATTACGGGAACCACTGAGTACTTTAATAAAATATAAAACAACGGTAACTTCGAAAATAAATATTTTAATATTCTAGCTTTCGACTAAAATTCAGTCATCGTCAGGAAACATATTTCATATTTTTTTAATTAAAAATCATTCCTGGTGGTGGGTGGTAACCGTATGAGTCATGAATTTTACTGATGGAATTTTATAGGAATTTTACTTGTAAGTTGTGACTTTGTTAACTGAAGATCTAAGGGCTTAAGTGATCACGTGTGCTTGGAAAACGTGATTTATATCACGAAACAAGAGAAGCTATCGATCTATTATTTAAGCCCGTTTTTGTCGCTTCGCGCGAACAAATTCGCCCAGTAGAAATCGTCATTCTAGTGACTGTCATTCTACTTCCTGTCAAAAATTTGTTAAAACTCTGTGGTTCCCGTAACTTTTATTACCGATTACGTATGACGTCATTGACGTCAACGAATGTTTTCACGATTTCATGTTTGTCAATAGAGCCAAACACACACCCCCC